CAAAAATTCACTAAAGCAGGGAATACAAATGGTCCAATGTTCTTGTTCATGAAAGAGTTATTTTGATTAACCAATTCACAACAATTTATATCTGACATTAAAGCCCCATGTTCATATTCATTAAAGAGTTTATTTGATTTGCAAGAATTAGCAACATTTAACATATCAGACATAAAAGCACTAACATGTCGTCGTCCTCTTGACTGGTGGTTACTTCGCTAGAGGGCGCAGCTGAGAAGGGAGAGAAGTGGCCCTTCCGTCCTCTCACGTCCTGTTGTTTTTGCGAACGTGTTGACCTCTGCAAGAACCCATAAGACGTAAATGTTTGACAGGTCGTACAGTAGATTGCACAAGTGGTCAAAGGTCAAGGACGCTACTGGATACGTGAAAGGTCACCATGTTCCGTACGTGCTGACCTCTACAACACCCGATAAGAAGTCATGAATGATAAACAGGTGTATACTAGTGTTATCTAATGCACAATCAAACTTTTAGCAATTGTCAAAGGTAAAGGACCTGACTTGACCCATTTGGCACAATAGACTACAATGACGTAGTAGAGCAAAAAACATATAAAAAATATTCTCAGCTTCTTGAACTATATTACCTAAAATATACAGACTTTTAAAGTCTGTATAATACTAAAATCATAACTTTGTCAGCTAAACTAAGCCATCACAATAGGCTAGGGTAAATATATAATCTTTTGAAGCTAATATCAACTCTAACTTATCATGATTCCCCAAAGTATAGCTAAGTTCTCTCACCTTGTTTCTTGTTGTGGTGATGTCTTGCCTGATTTTTGCGGTGTGCAGTAAGCGGTGAACAATGACAACTGTTCCATGAACGTTGTGACACCGCGACAGTGCCCTGTTGTACAGAGCAGTAGCTCTGGTCAAGTTTCTAGTGTCTCCAGTTTCTGTTCCTCTTTTCAGGTACACGTCACCCAGACTCTTGATCGCTTCTGTTTCTAACATGCTGTTGTCGCTTACTATCGCCTCTACCATCACCTGTGCATATCCAACCAGCAAAGAGTCTGTGTTACCTCCGGTAGCCCGTCTTTTGTCCAGGGCTTGAAACTTTGCCGCTACCTTTGCAGGTGAAGTCGTATCCTTGTCTTCTGTTGGCTGTTCCTTACCCTGTGACGACACCCCTTGTAAAAGCCTCTCCGTGTAGTGGTAGCGGTGTTCTATGCCATCTGCCTGTTCTTCATGGTAACACCGTACCATAGCAGCAATGTAAAGCGCCAAGGCTGTGTTGAACTTCCCCACGTCCTTCCCGAGTCTTCCCTTCTCCACGTTCACGTCTCCCAGAGTTTTGAGCAGCTCCACTTCCGCCAGCCTGTCCGTGTCGGCCATGGCGTTCACCAGGGCACGGAGGTAGCCTGTCTCCGCCCGGGCTAGTCCGTACCTCCTGCCCTTATCGTCCGCCTCACGGAGTTTCTCACACACCCGCAACATGGCGGGCATTCTACGCTAAGAAAATTTCTCTAAAAATCTTTGTCTTCACGGGCACAGTTGCCCTTTCTTAGTTCTATGTACCTGGCTTGAACAGGCACAGGTTTCACACTGCTTGTGTCAACATTACGTCATCTGTTAATGCATAGGTCAAAGGTAAAATACACAAAAGGTTCGGAAATACCCGTAAACATATCAGGTAGCCTGTCTACCAGCGTAAGACTTAAGTGCTAGGGCCAGGGCCTATTGCTTCCTATTGTAGTCTGATTCTTCGCTGCCACCACTGTGTCTCTATGTGCCACTGTCGTCTTTGATTTGATCATTCTACCATTTGGAGTTTTTCAGGTGGCCCGGTGTTCGGCAAATCTTGCTGGTATTACCTTATATGCATACCACATCTATACAACCAGAAATTACAGTATATTGGTGAGCGGCCACAAATGGACACCCGAATTCCTACCATCCCCAAAAATATACTCTACTCAGGGTAATACACTGTACAATCTTCTCTACTCTACTCTTATACACCATACAGACCGTTGGTCTATGCTAATGTTTTCTACCCCTAATATAATTGTAACCTAGCTCAAATGTCAACGTTTGAATTGTAGTGTCGTATATGGTGTCAAACTGTCAATGTTTATGTTGTGTAACCCTAGTAACCAAAAGTTCCGAGATCTCATACCTCCATGAAATATGGGCTTGATATGTAAATGTAAATGTATTCTTTAATTATGCAAATGACCTCTGAATTAACATAATATATGCATCGTGATGTTAACTTTTGATTAACTTACAGATGTCCCAAGTATGACAGTCCCATCATTCACCATTAAGAAATCATATAATTTTCGCATCAATTATACAAATTAGATCATCATTTGCATAATTAGCATCTGTTGATGTTGATTCTGCCATAGGTTACATACATTACATGTATGAAAGCACTATAATGTAAAACACTGTAATTATAGAATTTCCTCATTAATCATGCAAATAAAGTCCTCATTTGCATAATTTGCATTTAAGTATGTACATCTCTCTCTCAGCTACCTACCTACCAAAAATGATGAAAATATGTTGTTCCTATCTGGACTTATTGGCTTTTAAAGATTTCGCCCGAAGGTCCCCTGCAGTTCCAGAACAAGCTGCTAGGGGGACCAAACCCACACCACTTATTCCTGACAGAAAAAGCTATCTGTCATCAAAAAGTCAAGGCCATAGCATGTTCAGGACAAAAGATACAAAAACCGGACCGGAAGCTCTGCTGCAGTAGTGTACCAAGGTCATCGACCAGGAGGCCCATATTTGACCTTGACCTTCGTCTTCCTAAGACTTACCTGCATACCAAATATCATCACAATGAGCAAAATTTGAATTTCACTAACGCTAAATGTACGTCATATCGTGTAAATATTTTTCAATGTGCAATTCTACTACGACAATTGGACTCCGAGATTAAAGTAGTTGTTAACGTTTTTAAAATGATTGTACATCCTTGAACGCAAATCAGCTCTCTGCTGCAATGTTCGTGATTTTTAGCAATAAACCATTTTTGATTGATTGATTGATTGAAGTGATGATATGTTTCAGACCGGTACGTGATAGTGGGGAACCATCACGACGCCTGGGTGTACGGCAGTGTGGACCCGTCCAGCGGGACCGCCGTGATGCTGGAACTCGGCAGAGCCTTGGGCAAACTCAAGGCTGAGGGTAAGAAACGCTAGCCTGGAGTCCAGCTTTGTTAGCTTTAGTCCGCTCCCCCAAGATCTGCTAACCCGCCAGATCTTGGGCAGTGACCTAAAGCTAACAAGGCTGGACTCCAGGATAAAGAGATGCACGGTTCCAAGAACTTCATGCTACCTGTCTTTGCTTTATTTTCATCCAAACACAACAACTGCAGGGGGTTTAATATTATTACATTATTTCTCACGATGTAAGACCTCCCAAACTCAATCAGTAGCCACGAAGCTCAAAACATTGGACTAGAATACGTATGCGAGAAGTAAACAAGTTTAGGGAAGAGGGCAGTCGCACCGATGATACAGCGGTGGCGGTAAAAGGAGAGGCCGACAAACATTCTCATTTTGCCCCTCAGAATAAGGGAAATTGCGTTATTTGAGGTTTTAAAGTCCAAAATTTCCCTGTGGAGCATGCCCCCGGACCCCCCTCCCGCCCCCGGGCCAAAAATATTTGGACGCACTAATGAGACAGGCTGGCGGGAACGCTGTCAGCAGGGCAGATCCTACAGTAGCAAGGTGGGGTCGTGTGGCGTAGCGGCAGAGTGCTCGACTCGGAACCAAGAGGTCCCGGGTTCGAGTCCTGACATCCCAACGATCTTGTGCCCTTGGGAAAGGCACTTTACACGACTTTCCTCACTTCGCTCAGGTGAAAACGAGTATTGTATTGTCCCCTATGTTGGTTTCGGCATTAATATAAATTGAAAAAAAAACCTGAGTGTGCCGCCACCACGTCTTGTGATTACATGTTGGAATATAAAAAAAAGGTAGTATCCAGCGTATCATGCAGATTAGGGTGCAAGGCTATCTGCTTTTTTAAAGTAATCTTATTTTCATTGAAAAGCAAGATAAGAGAAACAAAATAGGGCGTGTGAGTTTTACAGGACAATCATGTTTTAATTTTCCAGGCTGGAGACCACGTCGGACTCTCGTGTTCGGCAGCTGGGGAGCGGAAGAGCAGGGCCTGATCGGCTCTACGGAGTTTGTAGAGGTAGCCTCTTCATCATCATCATCATCTATCATCCTCCGAAGAGGTGGAGCAATATACAAAGTTCAATCTCCAGAACTGTTTGTCATTCATCGCAGAGATAAGTTCCTGGCCCTCCAAGCCTGTTTCAGTTTCTATACGTTTCTTAACTGTTATGTTTGGACGTCCAATTCTTCTCTTTGTATCAGGGTTCCAATGTAGAAGCCTACTGGCTGGTTCTTCACTACGTACAACATGACCGACCAAGCTTAGTCGTCGAGCGTCGACATTTAACTACTGTAGTTACATTTGGTAGCGAACCATATAACTGTTCATTAGTAGTATGTTTCCACCATGGTGTATTGAAAACTACTCGCCTCTTCACATGTTTTCCATCTTCAAGCAGATCGTACAGTGACAAGACGTTAACCATTGGTCAATCAGTATCTATTAGCCATCGATCCAATATTCACTTCGTAAGCTTTGCCACTGGTTAATACCTTGTTATTGCAGAAAACAACCTGCTTTCAAAGAAAAGGGGATTGTTCTTTAAATCCAAAAATTGAATGTACCAGGAACTATTATGATAGAAAACATTATAGAGTGTAAACACAAGTAATACAGTCATATCATGAAAGTTCATCTGTGTTGGTAGTTTCATGTTTAAAGTTAAAACGTTTGGTCCAACACAAAAAATTTTCGCACCTAGAGCTTTCGACCGGTCACTCTGGTCTTCCTCAGTAGACTGACCCAGTGAGGCTTGTCACATGGCTTCTTTGAAGTGTGACGTCAACACTGGGTCAAAGGTATCTTGTAGGCGATGTCGGCCCACGTCGCGGTTCAAAGAAGCCACATGACAAGCTTCACTGGGTCAGTCTACTGAGGAAGACCAGAGTGACTGGTCGAAAGCTCTAGGTGAGAGTTTTTTTTGTGTTGGACCAAAAGTTTTAACTTTAAACAAGTCATTGATTTTGTCACTGTTTTCAGGATTACATCAGAAGTCTCCAAGAACGGACTGTGGCGTACCTCAACTGCGACTCTGCGGCCGCTGGTAGGGCAAAGACAGAAGAGTCATGACTGCATTTATATCTTTGTTAGGCCACACCGACTTAATTTTATGGATGACATCCGCGCGCGCATTGATTTTCGCCTGTTCTCAAAAAAAAAAAAAATCACGTCCTCCGGGGCTCTGGCTCTGGGTAGTCCATGGTAGTTAGCAAATTCACAATACCAGTTTTGTATTCCTGTGGTTAAGTATCATTTTTATTTTGGGCCGGATTTTTTTTATTCGCCCGCGCGCACTAGTTTGGGGGTCTTCAGAGGATGTCATCCATAAAATTAAGTCAGTGTGGCCTTACATACACTCACAGACAAAGAAATTTCGAAGTATGTATACATGTAGTCTGACACTACCATTAACACGTTGGCAATTAGTTACGTTTTTGGCCCCGAAGAGCCAAAGAACCATCAACATACATCTGTATCTGTATAGCCGGTATAACCGCCTTTCGGCGTAACACACCAGCTTCGCAGGCACGCGGCGCGGCGGCAGCTGGCTATATTACACCGATCGACTTGTTACACCTAACCCTTGAACTTCTAGCTCTAGACTTTGTTTAAAGCTATCTATTGACAATGCCCCTACTGTACTTGGTGACAGTGAGTTCCACTCTACAATATTTCTAGGAAAGAATGAATTCTTGAACACCTCAATCCATGGTTGATAACTCTGGTACTTGAAGGCATGGCTATTTCTTGTTCTCTTCTGGGCCGGTATTAGGTACTTAGTAGTTGGGACATCCACCAGTTTATTAGTCATTTTGTACATCATGCATAGTCTCGACATCTTTCTTCTGTCTTCCAGTGAGGCCCACTGTAGGTTTCTTTTCATTTCCTTGAAGAACGGACTTATCGTGAACGTTGCCTTTTTCTGACTTTTCATATGAAAAGACACTGTCATATAGCCGGAAAACGTCGACCAATCAGGAGGCTCCCATTCCCGCATAACCCAGGTCATCAATACATGTCCACTGGTGACCCTAAATGAAACATGCGTTCTGTTCCAATGACCATCGGTGACCCAAATTTGAACTCGTAAAACGGTCAAAAGGACATAAAATATTGCACATGATACGAATAGTTACATTGTCATTGTACATTCCCCAGAGAGCGGGTCACTAGCTCTATATAACAGGTGTGTAAAGTGGGGAAACATCGATGTTTCCCCACTTTACACACCTAAGTAATACAGACAAATTCACATTTTTAATGAACTTAGACAAGCCCCCGATCCTTAAAATTGTATGTTCTTTAATATCTTTTCAACATCACAGAGAAGCGAAGAGAAGTCGAAATTATGTAACGGACTGTAGTACTACTACTAGATTGATCTTGTAGTGTATATATTTGTCTATTCAAGTTAACCTTTGTACCTAACTCAGTGGGTATGTTTGTACAATAAAGGTCTTCATTCATTCATTAAAACATCAAACGTTTTGATGAGGCCCTGTCGAGGTTTTGTAACATAGTCACAGCTGGTTCTGATATAAAATGAATCGTTCCCAGGAAACTTCTCAATAGCGATGTGGGCGAGTCCAATTTTGCACAGCCTAATCCGAGAAGCGGCAAAAAAGGTGAGATTTTGTAGAGCCATACAAAAGATATATTTGATGCCAGAGACAGGAAAATCTGTCATCCTTTTGTAAACAAACTACTCAACACCCTCAGCAGTTATAAATCACAACTAGAAAGGTAACATTTGCAAAGCAAATGCATACTGTTTACCTTTACTGAGGAAATGCTAGAATAGCATTGTTTGTTAATATATCTGTCTTTTGGTTGAGAATATGATAAATTGATGTAATTCATGAAAATGAGGATCCTGTTTGCACAATCAGGGAGAATAATCTACAAATTGTCAGTCATAAAGATTAACATCATTTGGCGAAGGTATGATGTCGGGGAAATCTAGGCCGTATTTAAGTGAAGTCACCCAAACCGCGATTCGGGTAACTCACATTCCTCACATCTGGTCCACGTGCCACACACTCCTGTGAAACCGTGTCCGATCACAATTCGCTCGAGCTACATTTATTGCTATTTGATGATAACACGCAAGGTGGCGTGTTATTAATGTCAGGGGTCAACTACCTGCTTGCTGATGCCCCCCTCCCGGCGTATCTCGGCCGAATGCCGACGTGGTCCCGCCAGAGGCGGTGAAGCTCGCCCTAGAACGGACACATTATTTGACCATTACTGCTCTTTAAGTTGCTGCCACGTAAAAGTTGGTATTGCATATAAAGAAATAGCACCCCGTAATCCATGACCAGGCGAAGTTACATTGAAATCACATTGCGTTCAGACGCAAATCGCGATACGGGAAAACCGATTCGAAACCACCTCTAGAAGTGGCTTGGGATCGAGATTGCTTTCAATGTAATTTCGGAGCGTTCAGATGGAGCCACTTGAAACCGGCATCGGGGTAAACCATATGTAAAGCGCCTTGGGTGACTTCACTTAAACACGGCCCTAGTTTGTAATATTACTACCACGTGTACCCCATTTCAGACTGCTTCTCAATGTGACGCCCAGATACGGATTAATTAAAAGGAAAAATTCAACCTTTAAAACCTTCTATCTACCCCAGGTACCAGACCCGCACGAGCCCAGTAAAAGCCTGTACGACACGTGGCGACTGAAGCGACCGGAGGAAGAGGGCAACCCCGACACGCGCCCGAAGTGAGTTCACCTGGCTCTGGCTGTGTCCTTTTGCTTATCTCCAAGCAGATCCTACGGTGGCAATACAGTATCCGTAGGACTGAGGAGTGCCCTTGCATTAGGCCCCGGTTTCTAATGGACACTCCTCAGGCCAATGGATACAGTCTTGACACCGTAGGATCTGCTTGGAGATTATCCTCTTGCCGGGTCTTGCAATAACAGGTCTTTTTTGTGGGGTCGTGTGGTGTAGCGGCAGCGTTCTCGACTCGGAACCAGAGGCCCCGGGTTCGAGTCCTGACATGCCACCGATCTTGTGCCCTTGGGAAAGGCAATTTACACAACTTTCCTCAATTCGCTCAGGTGAAAATGAGCATTGTCCTGTCGTGTATTTGTCCCCTGTGTTGGTGGCGGCATTGATATAAGTTGAAAAAACTTGAGTGTGCCGTCACCACGTCTTGTGCACTGTGACCCATGTAACACCTTCAGTGCACTATGCACCAAGTAACATCTAGCGTCCGTGTACAGCAAACCAGTCAGAATTGCCCTGATGAAGATGACAGACGGTCATCGAAACGTCGGCTCGTAAAAAATAAATGGTTGTGATAAAAGAACTTTGCTATTTACATGTGTTGTTGTACACGGATGCCTCGAGAAAGTGTTGCCTTCTTTTGAGAACATTTTCGTATCATCCCCAATTGAAGAATCGGCAGGTTGGGGTCCGGGACTGACTTCACCCCGTTTTTCCAGCATGCTGGCATCACGGCGCTCGACATGTGGAACGACATAGACCCAGTAAGTTACGGTATACAGAATCTCCGTTACTCTGTAACTCTGTATCTGTATAGCCGGTATAACCGCCTTTCGGCGTAACACACCAGCTTCTGTATCTGTATAGCCGGTATAACCGCCCTTCGGCGTAACACACCAGCTTCTGTATCTGTGTAGCCGGTATAACTGCCTTTCGGCGTAACACACCAGCTTCGCAGGCACGCGGCACGGCGGCAGCTGGCTATATTACACCGATCGACTTGTTACACCTAACCCTTGAACTTCTAACTCTAGACATTGTTTAAAGCTATCCAATGACAATGCCCCTACTGCATTTGGTGACAGTGAGGAAGAATCAAGAAAGAATCAATCCTCGGTTGACAACTCTGGTACTTGAAGGCATGGATATTTCCTGTTCTCTTCTGGGCTGGTATTGGGTACTTAATAGTTTGGACGTCCACCAGTTTATTAGTCATTTTGTACATCATGCATAGTCTGGACATTTTTCTTCTGTCTTCCAATTGCATTGTTCATTGCAGCTTGATTCTGTATGAACTGCTTCTTCACAGACAAATTTTTAAACATGCACTACATGTACCTTAACGAAGGGTGTGTTTTCCCCAAGAATAAACAAGTTGGGCTCTGGGAGTGACTACGTACGCCCCATTTTTCCAGCATGCGGCATCGCGGCATCCAACATGGCAAGCGACATAGACCCCGCAAATACTAAGTTGTATGTGGCTGCCCATATAACGCTCCTATAAACTATAAGGCCATGTTGATTTGATTATATGGATGACATCCGCGCGCGCATTAATTTTACCATAAGTTACAAAAAAAATTAATAAAAACAATACCAATGTCGTAGAATGCCAAAATCAAACGAAAAAAGACGAAATTGTAAAGAAATGAACTTGAAGACTAGATTATTCGCCAAACCATATTCTGTGCCATTTGCTCAACCCTCATGACCACGTAGATTTGATAATGAAAAGAACTTTTTTTTTGCAACACTTTTTTTTATTCGCACGCGCGCATCAGTTTTGGGGCTCCCGGAGGATGTCATCCATATAATCAAATCAACATGGCCTAATTCAGAAAAAAAATAGGTCTTTTAAATTACACCAATTGCGCACAAGCTATGCCATTATAACTATGTAAGCTCAGGTACAAGCATATGCCTGATACACACACACACACACACACACACACACACACACACACACACACACACACACACACACACACACACACACACACACACACACACACACACATGCCCTGCAGAACCATCTAGAATCATGATAATTCTCTCCACAGGCCTTTGGTTTCGGCTACCCCCTGTACCACTCCGCCTACGAGACCTTCGATCTGCCAGACCGGTTCATCGACCCTGACTGGACGGTGCACCAGTCGGTGGGGCGGCTGTGGGGGGAGATGGCGGTCACCCTAGCGGACGCCCTGGTACTGCCGCTGGACGTGCGGGACTACGCCGAAACTCTGCAGAAGATGATGGACGAGCTTCGAGACGAGCACGGCTCCAGACTGGCGGCGCAAAGCATCGGCTTAGGTCAGTCTCAGCCTGGATGCAAGACTTATATATCCTGAATGCCATCCTCCGTACTTACCGTCGGCTCCCTACTGCACATGTCACTGGCTAACCTTAACCCAGCCAGCAACAGTAACTATGAAGGATGGCACCAAGGCCATACCCATAGTACCATGTACATAGCACCCTGGAGCCAAGGAGCTGGCCGTCGTAGGCCCTGGCAATGGTCTGGCAGACAGGCTACTTAGTCTGAGCTACACGCAAACTCCAATGGGTATATGGCTCCTCTACGGCTTTGTAGCACCCTAGGTGATACTAATCCCTTCGGAAATACTTTGGAAGAAACATATGCCCCTACCTCGAGTTGGCCAGCTTCTAACTGTGGGGGCTGTGGTAAAATTTCCTTGGGGGCATGTTGGCCCTGGAGCCGAGGGGCAGGTCTGTATACTGGCCCTGGCAACAGTCTGGCACCCAGACTAGCCCTGGAGCCGAGGAGCTAGCCTGTCTACTGGCCCTGGCAACAGTCTGGCACCCAGGCTAGCCCTGGAGCCGAGGAGCTAGCCTGTCTACTGGCCCTGACAACAGCCTGGCACCCAGGCTATCCATGGAACCGAGGAGATGGCCTGTGTATGCCCCTTAAACAATCTACTAAGAATCCAGGCTAGTTAGTCTCAGAGTCTCACGCAAACGCCAAAGGGTATGGCTTCTCTCTGACTGAGTCACAGCACAGAAGCCAGTCCTTATTTTTCTTCATGGGCAGTTTGATTTTGCCGGTGGAATCACAGAAGACCGAAAAATATTTTAACCGAGGGGAGGGCCATCGAAAAAAATCGGCCTGGAGGGGGGAGGGCCACCGAAAAAGTTTTGTAAAATGTAAGGCGTTGCGTAGTACAGAATTACAAGAAATATATATTCGCAGTGACCAAAACTTGCGCCTCGTTCACACATACATGTTTATTTGTTGTGATAACAGGTCAAAAGCATCCTTCTCTTTCGACTGACACAAGAGATCAAAACTATATAAACTGATAGGCAATAAGAAAACAATTGTGCTCGGATCCTTTTCATCCGCTTTAATTTCACCTTTTCCAACCTTTCCCTGCAAAACGAAGAAGTCTGTAATTGTTTCCATACAGAGCACCTTGAGTCAGCAATAGCAAACTTCACCAGGGCTACTACAACTTTCCACCAGAGCCTTGGAACTGTGGACAAATTAAAGTGAGTAGAGACATATGAATAATCATGACTTAATTCTGTGGTCTTTGATAATGATCTGTTTTGACTGTATGTGTGACATTACGGCGTCATAAGCCATATGTTGAATGGAGCCTTCTGACGGGACAAAGTCACCCGGCTATATGATAATCTAGTCTAATACATGTAAGGCCACACCAAGTAAATTTTATGGATGACGTCCTTTGGAGATCCTAAATCTAATGCGAGAGGGCGAAAAAAAAACAAGAAGGGCCCTAAAAAACAAGATGAATTAGAAATATTCTAAGAGACTAGAAATATACTAAGAGACGACAAATGTTAGGACACAACTTGAATGAGGTGACACAGTGTAACAAGCAAGAAGTCTTTTATTCATCATCAAAACAGCGATAAATCAAGCGGAATTTCTTGTGTTTTTTTCTAGGAACAGGCCAAAATCAATGCGCGCGCGGACGTCATCCATAAAATTTACTTGGTGTGGCCTAAGTGGTTGAAACTAAAGCCAGTGGTTACACAAACATCCCGTACTCCTCTCAGTCCCCTTGCAGTCCGCGCTGTGAACGATCGCCTGATGAAGCTGGAAGGTGCCTTCATTGACCCCCTGGGACTGCCTGACAGGCCTTGGTACAGGTAATTATGCCTTAGTCATGCTTTCAAGTGCCAGAGATATCAACCAATGTTCAAGGTGGTCAAAACTCGCTTTTATCTAGAACTATAGTAGAGTGGAGTTCGCTACCACCAAGTACATACAGTTAACTACATGTAGTTGGTGCACCATCACTAGATACCTTTGAATAACGCTTACAGCAACAATGCGTTAGATGCCCCATGGCTCCCTTCAGTCGACGTCCTAGCGGGCCAGGTGGCCAAGGACGAACGGCAGACGCAGGGCAAACTCGCCCCATGGCCCTTTTCTGTCCTGTAGGGCCAGGACGCCCGGGTGGGCGATCATGTAACAAGTAACAAGTCGCACGGTCAATGGATTTGTTTTAAATAAATTCATACACCATAAACTGGGTATAGTAGCTTTATGGCCACGTAGATTAACAGCTGGTTACATGTTTTACCCTGTAGACACGTGGCGTTTGCCCCCAGCAGTGTGAACAGCTACGCGGGGCAGTCCTTCCCGGGCCTGGCCGACGCCCTGTTCGACATCGACAACGTTAACCCGGCCGATCTGGCGGCGCGGTGGGAGCTGGTGAGGAGGCAGCTCGCCGTCACCACGTTCACCGTACAGTCTGCAGCCAACACGCTGGTCAACAACCTGTTCTAGGCACAGCATCTACGACTTAGCTTCTGCCAGGAGCTTCAGAAGCAGCTGGAAAGAGTAGAAATTGACCTAAGAGACAAAATTGTAAGGTCCGCTAACGGAGTACAATTTGCCGATCTGATCTGTACTGCTTCAGCTGCAGCATGATCAACTCCCCTGACTGCCGTCTGCCTATTTGGCCAATTCCTACTTTTTTTCTACTGAGACTATATCTACAAGAATCCTCTGGTTGCTGGAAAAGTAGAAATTAATTGGTCAAATAGACAGCAGAGTAGCAGTAGAGCTCGTGAGGAGGCAGCTTGCCGTCACGTTTACCATACAGTCTGCTGCCAACGCGCTGGTCAACAACCTGTTCTAGCTGTTTCAATGTAGTTGTTCCAATAGAAGAGAAGTGTTCTCACCTGAAGCTTTCGATATATAAAGCTTATATAACGTTATATATATATATATATATATATATATATATATATATATATATGTGTGTGTGTGTCTGTGTGTCTGTGTGTCTGTGTGTGTGTGTGTGTGTGTGTGTGTGTGTGTACAAGGTCCAAGCGTTAACCGGCATTTTGTGTTTTAAACTCCGAATGCAGGTGTTTGAATGTAATTACATGCTACTAGATACTAGTGTACACCTTGCACGTCTTGCGACCTGTATCTTAATGTGGATGACTCGTAGGTTTTGTCTTTTAGCTGTCTGGCTTGCTGTTTCGCAATGTTAATTATCGTATTCTAAGTTTGTATGTTTCGTACCGATGGTTTTCTGTTAACACTATGTTACACTGTTACGGTATTCATACTGGGTTCCATTTGAAACCAGCCAGTCAGAAGATGGAGAATGAATGAATGAATGAATGAATGAATGAATAAACATGAACATAACCATAGGTACAGAAATCATAGAAACATAAATCCAACTCCGAGTCAAAGGGTCAGATTGGAAACATCGAACGAAATTAAAGAACTTGATATAAAGTTGTACATAACATAATAGATACAGAAGAGTCAAAAGTGCACAAAGTCAACTCAAATTGTCAAAAGTACATAAGTGCAACTCAGAGTAAGTGCCCAAGGAATAACATCCAATCGAAATTCCTTTATTTGCTCCAAATACCTTTTGTACATGGCGTACTTTTTGCGTAACATCGCGTCTGAATCTAAGTAGATTAGTTAAGGATTTCTTTTTAGTTTTTAATCCTTCTTGACGTTTGAATGTAACTGATGCTTTCTACTAGTCTACTAATATTTACTACTGAAGCGAAGTATAGCACTGAATTCTACATTACGATTCTCTCCTTTATCACAGTTCTAAGAATATCCATATATTGCTGTCTGTTATTAATATAGACATTTTGTATTTCAATTATGTTGGTCACGCTTTGCCTCATACGGCACGTAAATTTTTAGAATATTTACATAGATTGTAATGAGTTATTGGATGGTAATGATATACATGTATGTGCATTAAACTTGCAGTGGATCATTTGTCCAGCTATATTTAGGGTGCATATCTCCCTATGTTTAGACAATCAATTTACTTTTTAGATAGGATAAAGGTCCTACAAGGCTAGAAAATTCTCACCATATGGGTACTCAATGTTGATGACATTTTACTCTTACATTTTTGTTCTTCATTCTAATAGTTCATGTCATGCTAATTAACATTTCTCTGGTAGACACTATATAATTGTCAGGACAAGTCTCTTAAGTAGAAATTTATTACATTCAGACAATCATTTTTGCGCTAACAAGTGGCCTCTTGTAGCCTTGTATACAAACAAAACAACAGCGATTTCAACAAAGACTCGATGGCCTATCGCCAATGGTTACAAAGTGTTCTGTTGGGACGCAGCCTATGAGGCTATATTACAAGTTTTTCAAAGAATTACGAGTATTAACAGGTTGCTAGTAAAATTACGTATGTCCATGCTTGGTACTTTACTTTCAGGTTGTTGAATTTGAGGATGAGGATCATCGGATCTCTCATGCCGGCTAGGGTTACCATATCCGTGTCTCTTCTTTCCTCTGCTACGTTGTAGGTCTCGTGTATGCTCTCTGCTTCTAGCAGCATGTGTCTAGGATCATCGGAGTAGCGTCAGTGAGCGCTCAGGCATGTCTCCTAGGCACACACTGTAACAGATACAACAAAGTTGCCGTTAGTAAAATGTGGACGTCTCCGACTGCTTCTGTACTTGTGGCAATAATGGTTAAAACATTCGGCAAGTGCGAAACCCTTGCTGTAATAGTTAACTATTGTTTCTTTATTGTTTTTTTATTGTTTCTCACAAATTCAAACACATATTGGCAGGAAGAGCACAGATATGCCTTCCCTGAATTACGTGAGTTTGTCTTACATAGCTATGTACAATAAACTATGATGACGACTGCAAATACAATACAATACAATGCACACAAACACCATATAAAACAATGTATAATATCATTCTCCAAAGTAGTGTTTAGCTTTGATTATTAGGAACGGTGTTTGCTTGTGGTACCTGGCTTGACTTGGCAAATGAATCGATACTTTTGACGGCAAACCGTGTCGAACCACTTGCCAATTTTAATCGACATGAATACGCAATCTTGGGGGGCGCCGTTGTTGCCTGTAACTGGTTTTCCTGGACCCCACGGCGTGTACGCTCCAAGGGGAGTGCCGTCCGCCCACTCAAACACTCCTTCCTCGCGCTCATCGGAGAGGCCGAGCCACATACGGCTCCGAATAAGACTTATATATGCCAGGGAAGTCAGCAAAGCGTTGGTCTTAGCGTCTCGGGGCATGGTGAGGTTGCCACCGTCTTGACGACAGGTCGCGGCCGCTTCGCTGAAGATCTTACGAGTGTTGAATACCTTGTAGCAGATTCCATGCCACTTCTGATAATCTTTGGGACAACCTGCATGGGGGAAATAAAACGTTTTGTATGTGTTTTTTTTATTTTTTTTATTAGATCTCCATTAGTGTTCAACTGACCACTATTCTTCCTGGAGTCCACATAAAATTCAAAATTATAACAACAGAAATATACAGAATTCAACTCAATATTAACATAAATTGAATAATTTAAAATAATCAACATAATTAAGTAACATAAGCTGAGTTCGAATCAGAGTGATCACTGACATTATAAAAGTAACCTAATTAAGTAACATAAGGTAAGTTCGAAATCAAATTAATAATCAGTTAATGTAGTCAACTATAAAACAAATTAACAACAAAAATCTGTTTAATAATCCTTGTCCAAGTGTTTACATGCTAAGACCTCTATTTGGGAATGATATAAATACAACGATAAAAACAAATAACCAATTAAATAGATAGATGGGTCATCAGACAGTCTATGACTAAGGTGATATCTTTCAACGTTGTGCTCAAAGTAAAATGGATGTCACACCTCCATCGGCAGCGCAAGTTGGCCCCATGGCCCCCTTCTGTCCTGGTGGCCCAGGAGGGCCAGGAGGCCCGGCAGACGCAGGGCAAACTGGGCCCATGGCCCCCTTCTCTCCTGGAAGGCCAGCTGGCCCCATGGCCCCCTTCTGTCCTGAAGGGCTAGGTGGCCCAGGAGGTCCGGTAGACACGGGACCAACTGGCCCCATGGCCCCCTTCTGTCCTGAAGGGCTAGGTGGCCCAGGAGGTCCGGTAGACACGGGACCAACTGGCCCCATGGCCGCCTTTTTGCCTGGAGGGCCAGGTGGCCCAGAAGGCTCAGGAGGCCCGGTTGACACGGGGCCAACTGGGCCCATGGTCATCTTCTCTTCAGGAGGCCCCGTAAAGTTGGGTTGCCTTGGTGAAACACACATCTCTGAAAATACAATGATAACTTTATTGCACAACAATTGTATGACATCTACTAGTATGAACTACACTTCCATAAGGCTAACCTAACTAATACAAGAGCGAATGGCTAGTATGGGATAGTTATGAAATAGTTTACAAGGGATCACGGAGAATAGAATCAAGACGCCGCAAGCAGTCTAAAAATATATATACACAAAAACAGCATTAGATGTGCGATACATGTATGTACATGTACCTTTACACTTGCCTTGAGATGCCAAAGTTTGTTGCGAAGACGCCAACACATAATTACAACACACACACAAGTCGATGGAAGTTCTGTGATAAATTACTAACGTTCCAGTTCGGCTACCCGTAGCTCGGTCTTCTTGTTCCGTTTTTCCACCTCCACAAATTTCTTTTCCATTTCCGTGTTTTTGGCTATATCGAAAAAAATGTAAGTGGTTACGTACACAGAGACTATATAGCAGATAAGAATGCATGTAAACGAGTTTTCCAAAAGATATGTCTATACATTACGGGTTACAATTTTTTTCTTGAAATTGCCAGTAAATTTTCAAGTATCCAGCATACCAAGTTGTCTCTGTCTTTATTGCGATACTCTTTAGCCAAAATTGGCTAGTCGTTCAGGGTTTATACAAAAATAAAAACACACAACAAATAACATCGTAAAACACACATTTGGCGCAAAAAGAAATTTACATTGAAGTTAACATTGTAATTATACTCTATGAAAATTGCAAGTAAAACAGAGTAAAGAGACTCTTTTCATACAACCAAGTGTTTTATTCACAGCCAAATCTCTCTATAGAGTCTCTTTACTCAGTGACTCACCGGCCTGATAAAACTATTTAGGGGTGCAGGTAAAACAATGCGTGTATTTTTTAAGCAATGTAAGAATCTTGCCTGCAAAGTAAGACAACAGTATGGTGATCACAACTGCAAACACAAGGCCTATGATCTGCCAAAGTTTGTTGCGAAGGCGCCAGCACTTCTTCATTTCCGTATCGTGGACGTCTGTTTAGCAAAAGAGTCGAATATGCAATTCACAGTCCAATCTAACAATGATGTATAACGTTACATATAATAGCAGTGTATTATTTTGAAGGATTTTTATTATGATGATGCAATGACTGTACTTAAGTATGGTTTGCAATATATGTACAACATATTTACATTATGGCATCATGTAAACCCTGGGTGAATAAATGAAAAATTAGAATTAAATCAGATTAGATTAAATTAAATTAAAGTTAAACAATATAATGCGAAGTAACATTAGAAATGCCGACATTTGCTCCGGAGCAAATATAGCATATTTCCTTCCATCTTCGTCAGCATTCTAAAATGGACTGTTCCATATGAGCCTTTTCCATCCAGTATAAATTGCATCGTGTTCGTATGGTATGGAGTGGAATATTAAAACATACCTCTGTTACCTCTGATGTGCTACAGTGTCATTAAAGTTTCAAAGGACAGAGGGCAGACTCATTTATGTTCTGTTGTCCTTTCAAGTCATATTCTTACATATTGCGTCACATTCCAATTATGGAAAGTGCATAACAGCTTTTTACACCATTGGCGAAAACAAACCGCCATAAAAACATCCCTATTCCATACTTTACTCACCTGTTGAACAAATACACCTGTTAAAACCTCCCAGTGGCAATTAACCAATTATTACATCCTAAGAATATTCTGTCTTCTTTTACAATGTAACTGTAATACATGTTTTTATTAGTTGTATAACTTGTAATGTTATGTAAGATGCCTAAAATTCAGGAGAGTAGCAGATGACGCTGCAATCTTTTTTTTAGATCGCCGTCTAATTCTAAAGAAGGCCTAAGAGAAAAAAACGAAACAAGAAAACACGGAATTTTGTATAACCTAAGCTGGAAAGTCGTTGTTACCTCCATGAAAAATGGAGGTATTGTTTTTGGCGTGTCTGTCTGTATGTCTGTCTGTCTGTCTGTCTGTCTGTGTTTCCGCAACTTTGTGGTCAGCATAACTTCATAACGCCTTTATGGATTATGATGATATTTGGTATGTTGGTAAGTCTTAGGAAGACAACGGTCAAGGTCAAATATGGGCCTCCTGGTGGATGACCTTGGTACTGCAGTAGAACTTCCGGTTTTTGTATCTTTTGTCCTGAACATGCTATGGTCTTGATGTTTTGGTGACAGATAGCTTTTCCTGTCAGGAATAAGTGGTGTGAGTTTGGTCCCCCTAGCAGCTTGTTCTGGAGCTGCAGGGCACTTTCTGGCGAAATGTTTAAAAGCCAATAAGTCCAGATAGGAACAACATATTTTCATCATTTTTGGTGAGTAGGTAGCTGAGAGAGAGATGTACATAATTATGCAAATTATGCAAATGAGGACTTTATTTGCATAATTAATGAGGTATTCTATAATTACAGTGTTTTACATTATACTACTTTCATACATGTAATGTATGTAACATATGGCAGGCGGAACATCAACAGTTACTAATTATGCAAATGATGACCTAATTTGCATAATTAATGCGAAAAGTATATGATTTCTTAATGGTGAATGATGGGAATGTCATACTTGGGACATCTGTAAGTTAATCAAAAGTTAACATACATCACGATGCATATATCATGTTAATGCAGAGGTCATTTGCATAATTAAAAAAGAAATTTACATTTACATTTACATATCAAGTCCATATTTCATGGAGGTATGAGATCTCGGAACTCTTGTTTTACCTGCTCTGGAGACGTACAGAGTGTTGGGAATGTTCGCAGCGGCGTCCGCAACGGACCGCCAATCAGCCTGAGGCTGCTGCGTGGGTGTGGCGCCTGGTGAAAGAAAACATGAGTTCCATGATCATTTATGCAACCGACATACCGTACACGCTAGGGGAGGATTGGTGGGTGGATGGATTGGTGGATGGATGATATAAAAAATCACAACAATCCATCAACCGGTTCTTGAATTATCTTCTTTAAAATATTTTTCAACGAATGACCCTACATTTTCAGAACAAGCTGCTAGTGCGAAACGCACGTAATGTTTTGCCGAGCTCACGAGCTAATCTACCGTACAACATTCGTGATCCTAGCACGTCCAGGTCAGGAGATATAAATCATGCGGTCAGAAGATATAATCCATGCAGTGGGGGCCCAAAATCTCATGATTTTGACGTCTCATCAAGACCACCCACCTACCAAACATCAAGCCAGTCCACCCAAGCCAAGTTGAGTTATTCGTGTTGACAGACAGACACACGAAGGAACGCCACCGAAAACATAACCTTCATAATTATGTTCATCATACGTTTTTTGCTGAATAACCAGGAATGTTTACAGTTCGATCTGCAAAATCTTTAGGAACAGCTATATCAAGAGTTCGCGAGTTCGAATCCCGGCTCTGTCGCTCACCCGACATTCCCGGTCGCAGTTTATTGGCATGCATATTGGGTGAGCAACACATGCAGTTGGGATTCGAACTCAGGACGTCTTTGTCCAGCTGTGGATATCTAATCTCTAAGCAGATCCTAGGGTGGAAAATTTGGCCAGGCAGAATCCATTGGTGAGAGAGGGTCCAATACCTTGGGTACCAATGGATACTGCTCGGCCAATTTGATACTCTTTGCCACGCTAGGATCTGCTTGGAGACTAGTGGATATCTGTGCCCAGGAAAGCCGTGTGTTACTAATCTCCAAGCAGATCTTTTGGTGGCTAAAAAGATAGTATCCAACACGCGGACAGTATCCAACCGGCCGACAGTATCCAATTGGCCACCGAAGGGATCAGGACAAAAAAAACCGGCCATATATAAAAAGGTAACGATCATTCCCCACAACCTCTGCTTGGAGAGTAGTGTGTTACGGAATATAAAGCAAAAACACGCTACCGTCTGTGCCGCCAGTCTGGGGCTGCTGCTGCCCTCTCTTCATGGTGCCTGGCTTGTCAGGTTTCTGGACAGCAAAAACAAGTCCTACACCAGGCAGGTCCTCAGTAACAATAACTTGTTTGCGCGCATCGCGAGACTCAAAGTAGTTTTTGAACGAAATTAAAAGCAAGGATTAAAGTACAGCAAGCAGATTGCTTGATTTGGAAACATGAAAACTTCTCGCAGGCGAGACTTATCAACATTTCAAATGAACACGTAATCGTTTTATGTTGCTCCGTATTGTAGGCGTCTGTTTAGCAAAAAAGAATGTGTATGTAACAATCCTATCTAACTGTATGATATAAAGTAACATATACTGTAACAATATAACGCGAGGTAACATTATAATACAACAACACCATGTAAATAGACGATAATGCAACATTATAATGCAATCATAATGCAACAACATAAAGTAAAGTAAGAGTCATATGAAACACACACGTACACCCATAGCTGGAATTGTCAAGAAGATAGGATCGTTCGTTGAGTCTTTATTTCTTGCCATGATAGCAGTGTAGCTCTGTCGTCACTGAGCATTATATCAGATACTCTCAGTTTTTAATCTAATATTTTTACTAGTCTTTGCTTTCATTACATTTTGCATTTCATTTTAGTGGCGATATGAAAATAAATAATTGATAGTCTATCGCCATTATGTGATGTAATATATATATATATAAATAGAAAGGTAAGTTTGCAAAGTAAATGCCTCTTCACATGGTTCGGCTTAACGAACTACTGTTTTGTTTATTCTTATATTTTTTTCAAACACATTCCTGTAACCCACCACCAGTTACCATGGCGACAGACGTCTGGGTCTGGTCATTGACCTTATTTGTTTGGAATGGAAGAAGAACAGGAAGAAACTGCGCAAAAACAACACGATTTTCTTAGGTAAACATAATTAAATGTTGTAAATAACTAAAGCAAAGACTTGTTAAACGGAATGTGTTGGCATCCTATACGATAACTCCTTTTACTGGAATGTACGGGCAGATCCTGTACTATAATTCCTCTCTTGGAGTACTGACACTTTCTATACAATAATTCTTTTTCCTGGAATGTATGGGGCAGTTCCTATCCTACACGATCAGTGTGGAGTATCTGGGCGCTTGGCGAGCCAGGCGGCGACTCCCTCGTTGGCCGTGACCGTGTCCATGACCTTGGCTAGTCTGGGGAGGCCGTCCAGAGCGCCGGGCAGCACTGCCAGGACCTTGGACATGACGTCATAGAACACCAGGTCGGCCCAGGTCAGCTGCGAAAGGAGATCGAAAGGTTCATGAGCCTTCTTAGCAGAAAAAATCTTTCTACACCATCTACTTTCTACACAATCTTTCTACACCATTTCTGTGCATGCACACAGTTGAGCAACTACTTGTACGTGACACAGAATTCGAAACAAATATTCAATTCTATCCTGCAACCTGTTACATAATGTAATCCAACACCACAGGGTGGTTGCTGTAGCACCAGTTACCACAGCGACAGCCGTCTGGTCTAAGCCATTGACACTTTTTTGTTTGAAGGAAAAGGAACAGAGCAAAAACAACATATTTTCATTCTGGATTATGGTAAACATGATATTGAAATTAGCTGGTGCGATTGGTAAATGCATTATCATCACAGACATATGCCTATGCATATTCACTGTCAAAATAATTACAACTCTAGAACTGCGTAATGTCTAAAGACAGGACTATTTATAATTAATATAAATTTTAGCAATGTGTAACCAATAATGCTTTAATAATGATACCCGTTCGACTGCATGTTGTATTTTAATAATATATTGTGTTGGCCACAGCGCTATTCAGGCATCCAGTAAGGTTGCCTGCGATGCTGGAGTCATCATCGATCAGAGTGTACTTTACATTTACCTCTTTCTATGTATACATGCACTTAGAACTGTACAGGATCTTCTACTTTGAACAAACACATATGTTCTACTATCATCATGATGATACTCACACTATCGCCAACAAGATGACCATGTGGTCCACACAGTTTCTCGTACTTGCCGAGGAAGTCGGGAGCAAAATCTGCAAGTTCTTTCTTGCACTGTTCCTACGGTATGCAAAGCATTCTCAGGATTAAAAAAATATATTATATTGAACTAGAAGAAGATGTACAAGTGTATCTGATCTGCATTCCTCTCAAAAATCGTTATGTATTCCTCGTCATGACTATCAAGGGTAATGATGCATTTATTTTTCAAAGAGTCGGACATTTCATCTCCCACTGCCTCCTGAGAAGAAGTCAAACCCCCTAATAGCATGGCAAGAATAGTTTAATAGAATAGCATAGAATAGAATAGATTAGAATAACAGTTACTTTGTTCCTATTACCTGGTCACATATTGTATATCTACTTTTTACCCTGTATGTATACCAACGTTATTAGGTTTAAGTAGAGAGAGTAGGTTCTATAAGTATATCGTACACGTAGAAGTTTATGTTAGCAGTTTATGTTAGCAAATAGTCTTATAAGTTATATCACCACATTTTTCTTGTTAATGTCTGTATGCAATTAGCCCTCGGGCATGAATTTGCAATAAACATCTCTCTATTAAAGAACCTTTAGCCCATGTAAAGAAGTCGCGTATTAACGCCCCCCCCCCCAAAAAAAAATAATCGTATCCGCAAGATTTCTGCGAAGGAGGCTAAGCAATAATGCGGTGTACCTTTCTGTAGCCTCTATCACAGGGGATGCAAATTGGTTCGCTAAAAAGTACAATTTGCCGCACCCGAACCCCTGGTAGGGGCAAAATGTACTCTCTAGGGGACCAACTCCCCTGGCATGTTATCCCTCTATTTGGCCAATTTCTACTCTTTCAGCCGCCTCCCGAAGCCTGGTAGAGGCTACCTTTCTGTCCTCAGACGCTTTCCGGATCACCGCCTGCTTTCCTCTGAGGTCGTCGATCCCGTCCACCAGCATGTCGGCATGCGCTTGCTCTAAAGCAGTCTTCCCTGCTAGACCTGGCAAAGTGGGAGAGATCATGGAGAAAGCGTACGATACATATTAGAACACAACACGAATATTCCGCATCACCCTCGGTCCCAGCCCGACTGAGGCTCGGTGGCCGATGTCATAACCACCCGATAAAATACATCTTTCAATGCGAATTGTGCCAAAATTTGGTATGTCTAGACAAAAAATGTAACAACATCAACTCCAACGTATTCGAATTTTCGAAAGCGGCGCGCGCGAAACGCGTTCGATTATTCCACGGGAACATTTGGAAGCCCGGGTGACAACCAGACGCCCGGGTTATGTTAACGTTAACTGTACCCGAGGTACCAGCCCGACCGGAGCTAGGGAGATCCGACCCGCGGCCGGGCTGGGACCGACAAAAATCATTTGTAGCAGACAGCATCTTTCCTTGGTGCTGAAATAGAAGTCATTCATTTGTATGACAAGCTTTTATAAAGAATTTCTTTAGCTTTTGTTATTATTTTATTATTGTAAACAACATCAGCGGGATACAAGTGAGCTGAAGGAAGTGACGGTTGACTTAACCGGATGCGTTTGTCATGTCTGTCAAGTTAAATTCACTTATGTCAGTTGTACACAAGGAAAGTTGAAATTAGATTCTTCTTTCTTCAAACCTTTTTTCTCTTCCTCCTCCTTTCCCTCCTTTTTCCTTTTACTACCGCACCCCCTTTTGTTCTTTATCCCCTTTTCCTGGCCGAGGTTTTATGAAATAAGCCTATGTTTTGTTTTGAATTATCTAATGGTTACTTATTTACAATTTGTTAATAATTTCTTATCATTTGCCTTCATTGTCATTTTAAGTATTTCAGTTAATTTGTGATTGCTATTTGTTAGGAGGAGGGCTAGAAAGCCTAAAGAGCTTCCTCTCCTGCACGGTGTTTTTAATTTAAAATAGGCCATGTTGATTTGATTATATGGATGATATCCGCGCGCGCATGAATTTTCGGCCGTTTCCAAAAAAAAAAAAGTTTTCAACCATACTGTAAATAGTACAAAACAGTTGCAAAATGAGCAAAAATATACCATAAGTTACAAAAAAATTGATAAAAACTATACCAATGTCGTAGAATGCCAAAATCAAACGAAAAAAGACGAAATTGTAAAGAAATGAACTTGAAGACTAGATTATTCGCCAAACCATATTCTGTGCCATTTGCTCAACCCTCATGACCACGTAGATTTCATAATGAAAAGAACTTTTTTTTTGCAAAACTTTTTTTAATCGCACGCGCGCATCAGTTTTGGGGCTCCCGGAGGATGTCATCCATATAATCAAATCAACATGGCCATATATAAATAAATAAATAGAATAAAATATATTTGACGTGCTTTCGCGACTCACGTACCGGTCTCCTTGGCAGCGAAGCGCGCAATGGCCATGCTCTGGCAGAGGGTGACCCCGCCCACCTCTAACACCGGCAGCTGGCCCATGGGGGTGTCTGGAAGAGACATCAATGACTATCAGTAAGTGGGGTATTGGCTTAGCCCATTTGTATCTGTATAGCCGGTATAACCACCCTTCCGCGTAACACACCAGCTTCTGTATCTGTGTAGCCGGTATAACCACCCTTCCGCGTAACACACCAGCTTCTGTATCTGTGTAGCCGGTATAATCACCCTTCGGCGTAACCGGCTTAGAAGGCACGCGGCGCGGCGGCAGCTGGCTATACATGTATGTAGAAGCTGCAGCAGATCTTGCCAGTAATTTAGTCAACACTGTGTAGTACTCTTAGAACCTGTATAGTATTATACTAGACAGCTGCTCATTGTACTCTTTATAAATGTATAGCGTAGCTTAGCACGTACACGTAGAGGTGTAACGTTACTATTTCTTTAATAGTCAGTAGTGATATGCAACACTCTGCCAGACATAGCACCAGTTGAGCCTATATGTAGAATTTTGATAGACCCATGCTAGATAGTAATCTTATTATCTGCCATCATGACATTGTACCTGTTACAATCGTTGTGCAATAAACCTTGACTTGACTTGACTACTAGAATATTACACCGAACGACTTGTCAACGTTACACCTAGCCATTGTTCGTATGGTCGGTTTGAAGAGGCGGTCGCTTGTACCGTAGGTTTGACTGTACCACTACACATTGTGACATGTACACGTAAACATATTCCTCGCCCCTCCCCTTCCGTCAACAGTCAGCCTCTACCAGGTGTCAGAAAGAGTAGAAAATCGGCCAAATAGACAGATATAAAACATGACAGGGGTGCGGCAAATGTACTCCGAGTCAGCGCCCGAACCAACTGCCCTGGCATGTTCTCTGTCTGTCTGTCAATTCCATTCCAGCGGCTTCTAAGGTCTTCTATTGAAGGCTAGGTAGAGGCTACTCAGGACGTACTAGGTTTGAGATCAGGCCACTTGTCCCTGGGTATCCTGACGTCCTCGTACTCCACTCCTGCAGCAGCGAACACCAGCCTGGTCGCCTCCGCGCGAGCCCTCAAGTTGAAGTATATCAGTCTGTATTTGGGCTGAGCCATGTCTGTATGACCTGTACGGCGTGTATAAAAGAAAAGTGTAGGTCAAAGGCCGGTAGGATGTTGACCTTTTAATGTTGTGCTCAACCATACACAACGTGCTACACTCGGGAGTTCCTAGTCTCTACCAGGCACCGCGGATCGCCGGAAAAATAGTAGAAATTGGCCGAAATAAAGGGTTAGTATAACAGAGAAGATCCCGGGCCATAGAAGATCCAATTTGCGACCCTTTATTTCGACCAATTTCTACTATTTTTCCAGCGATCCGCGGTGCCTGGTAGAGGCAAGGAGGTTAAAAAAAGGGATTCGACGGCAAAGTCAAGTGTCAGTCATCTTGGATATCTTTCTAGTATGGCGTTCCAGAATTGATATAATCCTTGTATACAATAGCCAGATTATTATGGCTTCACCACAAAGTGGTGAAGACATATTGTGTTCCCTCATGTTTCTTCTCCTTCTCCTCCTCCTCCTGCCATTTCTTTAAATGGATTCATCTCTGCCATTTTCAGGCCAAATAACACGAAATTTGGCATGAAGGTAGAGTGGGCAAATACCCTGACGCGTTTTTTTTCATTTTTTTGAAAAATTGTTTTATTTGGGTTTTTTGGCCATTTTCAGGCAAAAAATATACATTTTGAGATCTGGTTCCCAGGTACTAAAACCAAATGACCTGAAATTCGGTATGGGGATACCTTGGACATATGTCTACAAAAAGTCATTCAAGCTTTTGACATACACCACTTTATAATTGGGAAAAATAAGGCTTTTTGGCTATTTTCGGACCAAAAATGTACATTTTTGGCTCCTGTGCCCTAATATTAAATCTGAATGACCTGAAATTCGGTATGGGGATACCTTGGACACATGTCCAAAGAATGCCATTCACGATTTTGACATATACCACTTTAAAATTGTGTAAAATAGGGCTTTTTTGCTATTTTCGGACCAAAAATTTACATTTTTGGCTCCTGTGCCCTAATATTAAATCCGAATGACCTGAAATTTGGTATGGGGATACCTTGGACACATGTCCAAAGAATGTCATTCACGATTTTGACATACACCACTTTAAAGTTATGTAAAATAGGGCTTTTTGGCTATTTCCGGCATTGGAAGGTTCCATTGCTGCATGGGGGTGTAGACTATTGGCAGCCATCGTAGGATAGATCCATTTTCGGTATGGGGGATGTGGTGAAGCCATCTGCTGCATTTGCTCTCAAGCAAATGTCGGCCTTTCTAGTCTTTCATTTATTTTACACTCACCTCTCCTGCTCACTTCTAACATATCTAAAGTTAACTTTTTCTATAATTTATCTATCTATCTATGGTAATCACTCGAGATCTTTATTTGCAATCAGATACATATACATGTACAGATACAGATTCATGTACAGGTATATACAGATACAGATTTTCCGAGTACGCCCTACACCAGGCAGGTGCTTAATAACAACAACTTATTTATGTGCGAGACTCAAAGTAGTTTTTGAACGAAATTAAAAGCAAGGATTAAAGTAAAGCAAGCAGATTGCTTGATTTGCAAACATTAAAGAAACTTCTCGCAGGCTAGACTTATCAAATGAACACGTAATCGTTTTACTCGCTAAATATTGAAGCCAGTAGTCTACAAATGGCGAGACTGTTGTAATTGTATTGATTTTTCTTTGATTTTGATATCTATATTTCACTACGTACTACAGGAGTAAGACACTTCGAAAAAATAAGCCTTTATACCACTTTCTTCACTTTGCTCAGGTGAAAATAATAAGTATTGTATCGTCCCGTGTTGGTGGTGGCATCAATATAAGTTGAAAAAACTTGAGTGTGCCGTCACCACATCCTGTGATTAGGTGTTGGAATATACAAAAAAAAAGCCTTAACCTCTGCTCAGAGAGTAGCAAAAGTATATCCAGTTGCTTGAGTAACAGTTTTTTTGCGTAGCTTATCACTTGGATTTCTAACCTTCACCTAAAGTAGCAAAAGTAGTTGATTTTGTATCAAACCAAACCAAAGTACACAGCAGCGGACTATTATTCTTAATGGTTGAGTAGACATAGCTTGTACCATAGGTACACTGGTGAATTTATTATACCATCAAAGCAAATCAATGAAGGAGCACCATCGCACAATTGTGCTATGCGTATACATGTACAAAAATGTACATGTGCAAAAATGTATATCTATAAATCTACATCTACATTGTAGTGGTCAAAGCCCCTGGTGGGATAATGTACAGGAGACTGGTGAAAAACTAAGAGTGAGCTGAAAAAAACAGAAGCTGTTGTGTTACGCCGAATGGCGGTTATACCGGCTATACAGATACAGAAGCTGGTGTGTTAAGCCAAAGGGCGGTTATACCGGCTATACGGATACAGAAGCTGGTGTGTTACGCCGAAGGGCGGTTATACCGGCTATACAGATACAGATACAGAGCCTCAGAGGTCACATCGATGTTTACTTGCTGATTTTATCATTACTACCCTAAAGCTTCTAACGCGCTTGCACACATACACAAAGGGCAGAAATTGCATAGTTTTTGTAACAACACAGTTCCTGAGTCTATAAAATTCCTACAAGCTGGCCTTAGATTTTATCATTTAACTTCTCATCACATTCTTGTAGCCTGACTACAACACACTTCTAGCTAGCCTTAAGTTACCAAACCTATTATAGCTCCCAAGTCCTACATCAGTATTTGCGGAGAGGATGTAGGACTCGGGAGCTATAATAGGTTTGGTAACCAGGCTAACTTTTAGCAGCCCTTCCATTGGTCTCTGGGAGGAGGGCCAGTGAGTTCCTGAGAGATTGTGTAACACAGTACTGCCTCTACCAGGCTTTGGGAGGCGGCTGGAAAGAGTAGAAATTGTCCAAATAGACAGATAACATGCCAGAGGAGTTGGTCTGCTAGAGAGTACAGTTTGCCGCACCCGAAACTGTACTCTCTAGTGGATTAACTCCCCTGGCATGTTATCTGTCTATTTGGACAATTTTTACTCTTTCCAGCCGATTCCTAAAGCCTTGTAGAGGCTATAACACAGGCTAGACGTACACTGTGTGACATCATAACTAGTCTTGTACAGGGTACAAAGTATGGTACCTACTGTACTAGTGTAATTATTTACCACACTTTCATAGGGCTAACTAATAGAAGAGTGAGTGTAACACTGTGGTTATAACACAGGCCAGACGTACCCTCATGCCCGTAGCCAGGATTTTTAATGGTCTTTCCACTACTTGAGGGACCAGCGAGCGCCTAGTTCCTAGGGGGGTCCAGGGGCATGCTCCCCCGGGAAATTTTGAAAAATGAACCCTCCAAATTGGCATTTCCTGCGTTTTTGAGAGGATTTCAGAGGAAAAATCAGAGATAACTTTTTATTCAATGACAAAGTAGGCAGTTTTTATACGATTCCAGGCCCACTGATGATACGAATCAGTCCATCTAAAGAGAAATCTTGTACATTGTGTACCTTTAGATAAAAAGTGGACCTTCGAGCCTTCCC